TGGATTGTAAAAAATATGCAATGGAAAGTACAATACGCAACGGTTTTAGAAAATGTGGACTATTTTCTTTTGAAAAAACTAATGTTAATTACACGAAATGTATCTCCACTCGGCAAGTTGTAGATCTTACAAAGCTATCATGTAATCAAAGCACAACACTTGCAAAAGAGAATGTATTATCCGAATTTAAAAAAAATATACCACCACTTGAATGGAAACATTTTAAAACAAATTTTCAGAATAAAGATGACTGAAAAGGAGAATTGAATTTAAAAAACTTTATGAGGTTTTATTGAAATCAATATGAACATGTCACCACGGAGGATAATTCTATTTTAATTAATGTAAATGTAACAGCTTCAACTTCAAGGGAAAAGAAAGGAATTCTTTCAAATGAAGAACAGTCAACTATGTGACAAGATAAAAGTGCTTCTTCATTAAATGTATCCGAATCATTTTCTTCACCGGATAAATTAGAAAACGTTTTGCTGTATAACGACAAGGAAGACCAAAGATGTGGTTAGCACTTGTTTCAAAACTATTTAGAGATATAAAAATACATTATTTTATTTTTATGAAGACATTAAAAAGATTATAAAGGAGCCATTAGTAAAAAACAAACGGGGTCATTATTCTGTACCAGAACTCTCTAGTTTTGTTTAAACTATGTTATATACTTTTTTAGTAAAACAAGTTTGATAAGATATAGGTCATGAGTTACTTCTTTAGATACTTTTTGAGCTGTTTGTTGTTAATGATTGTTAGTAATTTCGGCGATGTAAATCTGAAAAAAGAATAAATAAAAATATAATTGCTAGTGTCCATTACTAAATTTTTGAGAGTCCAACACTACAGTTTTTTTGATCATTACTGGTGATTTTGACATTTGTCTAGTAAAAAACATTTTTTTGGAAATGTTTTTATTATTTGAATATTTTTGAAAATGTATTCTTAGTAAGAAAAAAATTGTAAGTGGAATACTTCATACGAATGAATAAAAACAGCTCAGAATTTTCTCTTCGGTATCCATTACTAGTACAAGTGTATATAGGGAAGCTTTGTATAATTTTATTCATGATTACATTGAATAGAGTAAGGCGTTGTTGTTCCTTACTTATAGCAACTGTCTGTTAGTTTTGTTGTAATAATTTTAGTAAATAACTTGCACGTGCCGTTTAGTAGCGAGATCATTCTGTAATTTTCTGGATTGTTCTTCCTTCATTTTTTGTGGTTTGGTATGGTGATGCTATTTTTCCAAACCGTTGGTGTTCTTCAGGGTAGTTCTTCTATTTGTGTTTTCCAGTAGGATTTCTTCAGCTCTTTTATTAATGAATTTATTCTGTTCCGAACTCTTTTGTATTCATTGAATTGCTCTGTCGATCGTGCTGCAATGTACTTAAAGTAGGCTTCTTTCTTTTGTTTTGACAATTCATTCACTTCTAAACCACGTTTCTTTTCCCATTTAATTTTAATCTTCTGCTCTCTAGTGCTTCTTTTGGGCTGTCAATTATTCTTATTGTTACGTTTTCCCACATTTTGTCTGCGTCTTCTTCGTTCATTGTTTAAGTTTTACTTAGTTTTTCTTAGAGTCTGTTTTCATATAATCGCTTTCTAGATTCGTCTTTCAAAGCTATTAAGTTTCTCAATGTAAAAGGCTGATTTTTTCTTTTGGAAGACTTTTTCATGACGATATTTGCATAGTACTAAACCATGTTTCAACCCTACATTTGCCTATGTTAAAGTCCGAACGTCTAATATTTCACTTGGGTGAATTTCTCTATTTGATCAAGTCAATTGTTGAATTTTGGTTTCTTGTGTTTCCATAGGTATATTTCTGTTGAGCTTTGTGGGTGTAGTACGTGTTGTTGATTCGTAGTTCATTTTGTGCGCATATAGTGATGAGCATTTCTTCATTACTTAATGACTTCTTCATTGAATCTGTTCATTACACCTGCAATTACTTCGTTACCGATTCTGGAGTTAAAGTCTTCCCTTAGGAATATTTTTGGTTTTTGTGGCAGTTCGTCAATATGTTGTTGACGTTCATTGAAGAAAGTTATTTGCTTTTCTTTTAATTTACTCATGTCAGGAGTGTACACGCTAATGAAGCGTATTCTTTCTTTGTCAAACTTAAGTCATATGCTCATTATATTAGTATTCACGTACTGTACTTCCTCTACATAATATTTTAAATTTCTCGTGTAGTAATATTCCCACTACTCTCTTTGTCTCTTGTCTTTTCCTTTTCAATTCGGATATTGTACATATGTCGATCTTATGTTTGCTTAATTCCATATGACTTCCTGATATCTCATGTTCCACGATGTTACATTTCACCTTCCAATTCGCCAAATTTGTGATCTCCATATTCGTTTTTTCCGTATTCCCGTCAGGTCGTTTCCTAATTTCCGTCCGTAATTCGAGGTTTTCTTAGCAGTACATTGAGTTTTTATTATTTTTTTTCCGGTGGGACATTATGTTTAGCATAAAATTGTTTATGTTTATCTTAGACGTTCGATAATTCGCAATGATTACATTTTCCGATAACGAAGCTGCAGCGTTTTTATTGCAGTACATTATTTGGAGACACCTACGTATTATATCTAGTTTACATCCTCCAAAGCTTCGTACTTATTTCTGTTACACACCGTATAAGTAAAAATCTTTTTGAAACAAAGACATTCAGATGATATGGAAGAATTAAAAAACGGGGCTGCTCAATTACAGCCGAATTTTAAAATTCGTCTAGCTGTCTATTTGACATACCTTTCGATATCTGTATTGTTGGTTATTTTAACTATTATAATATTTTCATTAATTGCTAAATATTAAGTATGTTGCTTTATAAAAATTAAATCAGTAGTCACGAAAGACGTCATCGAGGGTTAAAATTCGTCGTTGTCACTTATTAGTCTCTAGATTAGAAAAGTCGTTTGCTTTAATTTTAAGCGTTTTGTAGTTTATTAATAAAAATAATTGTTTTAAAAATAAAATTTTATTACCTGAAAAGATAACTATGGTTGTAATGATATACTGATAAATAATAATTTCAACATTAGGCTTCATGAACCTATTTTCATAATAAAAAAAATGTAAATTTAGTTCAACAGTGAAGAAGATGGCTTAACATATACTGTCACGCAGTGGAGTTTTAAGGAAACTCGAGAACTATTGTAGACTTTAAAACATATTTCAAAATTAATTAAACATTTCATAGTTATAAAATTGCAATTCCTTTAAAATTCATAAAACAAATATCGAGTTCATTTACTTGCAAAATAAGCGCATTTTGCAGCAACAAAAATAATTTTTTCAAAGAATTATGTACAAGCAGAAATTAATGCAAATTTGACATTTTTGTTACTGTGAAAATTCTAGAACTTCACAAAGTCACCGAAAAAAATAAAAAAGGTTTACAACCTAGTTAGTATCGGAAATTTCATCAGTTTTCACTAAATTAGCTAAATCAAAGAAACTTCTACATGGATTGCCATAGACCACTGCCAGCATCCACTTTTCATATCGCGAGTAGAGAATCACTTATCTCCTGTTAGACTGCTTAATGTGTCGTCAATTCGGAGTAATGGGTAGCTGTCCTTATGCGTTTCACCTTTCTGCTTCCTGTAGTCCACACAAAAATCTCGTGGAACCATCCTTCTTGAGTACGATCACTATAGGGGAAGCCCTAAAGATGATTTGGTCATTTCTTGCTTATATATGTCTTTTATAAGGTTATTCACTTCCTCTTGCTTCATCCAGGGAACTTTTCCATGTGGTTACAGTTTCGGTGTTGATGCGGTGGTATGTTACATAAGTTCTGATCTGAGAGGATGCAAACATGCTGAAAACAGCCAAAAAGTTCTCGAAATTTCCTTAACTTGATGCTTGTTTAGGTGGTTACTGGACTGTTCCACCAGTTCTGGTAAACCTGTAGGAAGTGATGCCAGTTTCGTCTCACACTTTTGTTCCCAAAATCACAGTGGTGATTTTCAGCTACTGGTTCAAACAGTTCCAACGGTGTTCTTTTGTTCGAGATTTCTCAAATTGAATATTCTAACAGACAGCGATGCTACTCCCCGTTCTTATGAGTGCACGTTCCTCCAGCTTTCTTTGTTGAGCTTGGATTGACTGGTTTAACTACGCTCACCAATTTGCCAATGGCGTTGTCTATTCTGATTCTTACAATGCTTTTGTAGAGACTCGGTAGTATTCGTCCTTCCTTTGCGATCATCTTATAGACGTCAATCTTCGCCTTAAGATTTATCTGCTATTCACTGATGTGAATTGTAAAAGTGCTGATATTTAAGTCGATTTCCTGATCTCGGAGAAGATCCAACCCAATAATGACACCATCTACTATGTCGACCATCAATAAACCCAATTGAAAATATTTCTTACTCAAACAATATAAAGTAAGTAACTCATCTTAGAATCAAAAGCCAAGTTTTTTGTTTGAAATGAGCCCTAGGAATGTCCGTAAAAAAACGGAATCTTGTCATTATTTGTTTGACGAAAACAATGTAGTAATAGAAATGTATACTTAATACAAAACAAAAACTGTTGCACGTGATCTATGACGTATTTACAAGAAAAAAAAATTTCAATGCAAGGGTTATTTCCCCGGATGCGTACTTGTATTTAAAATTAAAACTTGTTTGGTAACTTTACGGCTGAAACTGCAAATAACAGTGGAATTAGCTTTCATAGTAGTGTTGCCGTATTCTGTGCTCAGCTAACTGTAAACATTTCGCTATACTGACCATTGTCATTGATATGGTAACCTGTCTAGATTCCAATGCTGGCCAGGAAAGCTTACGAGAATAATAATGTTCTCTCCGTGTATTGTCTGGTATGACGTCATTTACTACAGTGAGGTGATGAATGTTCTTTTCAAAATAGTTGTGTGCTTTAAGGAGCAATGATAAGGAATGGTAATTCACAATGAATGAAACGAAATAAAAACACTAATTTAGTTTAACTACTATAAATATAATAAAAAAAAATATTTCACAATAATAAACACAATGGTCGCTGACTTTATCACATGAACTATTTTATTACAAATTCACAATCAATAAAATTGTCGCATATGGTAGGTATTTACAATAAAGCATTAGTTTTCTTTAAGAATTTTAACTAAAATTATTTGTCGTTAACCGAAATTTTCGAAATGATGGATGAAGTACGGATACTTGTGACACTTGTTGACTTCATCACATGCAGACATCACACTTTTGGTTAAAGGTCTAGGTCCACAACTAAATACTCCTATTTTGCTTACCTTTAAATAAAAAAAATTTTGTAAAATTATTTGCTTTAAAGAAGAGGAATTAATACAACAATAAAATGAATCTAACTGGTTAAGGCAATAGGCGAGTAGAGCGTGATTGAAAGAATTGCTCAAACAATGATTTTGTAGTCATACAGTAATTAAAGGCTCATTAGACGCACTATCTCAGTAGAGTATAACTAATTCTTTGCACAGAACAGATTGCAGTCAGAAGAAATGCCGGTTGTCTAACGCCTAAAGTAAATACAAGGTGTTCCTAAAATAAGTAGCAACCTTGCGGGAGGTGATAGGGCATTATAAAATAAGAACATTAAGTAAATGTTTACAGATCCGAAATTTCATCGTTTTTGAGAAAAATGTAGTTGAAATGCGACAATGCAACGCCGCATTCAATCAGTTGGTAACTAGCAGCATCGGTGTTGTACTGCCTTTGTATTTATTATTGTTATTATTATTACTTTAATATTTATTAGATTATATTAAGGGAAATTCAAGATGTTTATATTAAAACTAACTGTAGTTAATAGTTATTTGTTCTTTTAACTTCGTAACCTTGATGTATTTAGTCGATCGATAGTAGGTCAGTACCTCTCTGTTAATGCAACGATCAAATTGTACATTAATCGCAAGGTACACCCTATATTTACAGGTCGTGAGCGTTGCCGCCCGAACCATATCATCGTTAAGATGTAGTTCACGCGAAATTGAACACAACGTTGACTCCTTTCATGTGTCAGCGTGACAAATATTAAAATAGCAGTTGCTGCATACTTATCATTTACAACAAATACAAGCCTTGTCGGAAATCGATTTTCAGCTGCTAGTGGATTTGTGTTACTACTTTCGATAGGAAAGTAATGTAGAGTCCAATTGCTTTCATAGAGTGCTATTTACGGACAAAAGTATTTCACGAAATAATGATAGATTGGCGTGACTGCCGAACTTTATGCTCGATTTAGAAATAATTTTGGTAGACGTCTCGATGCTTGTCTTCTAGAGCGAGAGTCAAATTTCGAAGAATTTTATAGTTCACGGATATGTGTACCATGTAAGAAACTGACTTATTTAGGTTTATGCATTTTAAGAGTAATTTTTGAAAAGAATATACGGGACACTTAATTTCTCATTAGGCACATAATAAACCTTTAATCAACATAATTTATGACTGAAACAGTCCATTTCCTTGTTTAAACCTTGCCTTTTTTTTGCCAACTTGTTGCCTAAGATGCAAATAAACGAATTCAAGATATGGAATCCGGGTGTTAAACAAAAATTGATATAGAGTATATAAAAATATATAAATGAAACATGTAGTAACATCCTCAATAGCGTATCAACGGCTCCATTCATATATAATATATACATAGGGTGTAACAGTGCCGAGCTTGCAAGAGGTGGTAGAGCACTATAAAATATGAAAATTAAGTAAATGTTTCTAAGTCTGTAAGCTCATTGTTTTCGAAATAAACGCAGTTGAAAATGCACGTAAATTTAATTTCGGCCCAGGTACAGTAAAGCGACAACGCAACGTTGTGTTCAATTAGCTGAGAATTAGCGGCATCGGTATTGTATTTCCTTTGTACTTGTTTTGCTCATGTATTGTTTGTTATTTGTCAGATTAGATTAAATGTGATGGCCCGCCTGCAAAAGTTATTTTCTCTTTTAACGTTGTCAACTTCTCTTTCGCAGTAGGTCAGTGTGTCACTCACCGTTATAGACAAAGACAACTCCCAAATTAATTTTTGGAGACTAATTTAATTTGTTTGGTAAGTTTACTTAGAAGATAACGCACTTTGTCAATACCTAAATGGTGGCGTGGAAATTTGTTTTAATAAAATTACAGTTATCCAGGTGATGCTTATTTACCGACTAATGTTTACGTAACTTACATTTTTTTTCTTATATGTTAGTACATTAAGTAGTGCCGCCTGTAACGGATTTATTTAATTTATTTGTGTTTATTTCAGACGTTTGATAATCGGGAATGTTTACAATCTCGATACATTGCCAATTTGCATAAGACCGGTTTTGTGATTTTCTTAAAAAATTTTATTGCCTTTAACCATGCTGCTGAATTCGCCGTGCAATTACTGCATCTAGTTTACACCCTTAAAAAAAAAAACTTTTGGGTGTTTCATTCCCACCAGCCAGTAATGCTGGTGGGCGGGCAGTCCCTCTGGACTACGCCGGAAGGTAGTGCGGAAGGCCCTCTTCAGCCTGCTTTCAGGAATCGTGGGAATGGCTGGGTGGTGGTTCGGGTGAGAAAGTTGAGACGGACGAAATGAAGACAGAAGAGAATGAAAGATTATCTGTGGAATATTACTGCCCCAGCATTTACCTAAGAGATCCAAGGAAACCACAGAAAAACTTGAACCAAGGCAGACGGACCCGGAATCGAACCGGCGACCTCCCGAATGCTAAGCAATGGTCTAAATCTCTAGGCCATGCCGCTCGGTTACACCCTTTAAAGCTCGGCACTATATATATATATATATACTCAGTTAGCCTTTACGCCTATTGGCGAAGCTTTCGGGACTTTTTATCGCGAGGTGGCATTAGGCATAGATGACAAAATTACCATTCATAATAATTTTCTAATTTTCAATATTTTACAATTTTTTCGTACATGCTTTTTTCACTTACATTACGGAGTGTTTAAATTCTCAGTAGATACTTAATGAGCCTTTAATTCTGCTGACTTCTCTTCCTACTCAATGGATATGTTTACACTAACTAATCGACAAATTGCGATTTTATGGAAGGTGATGTTAAATATCTATTATGTCATGTGAATAAACATTTTAGTATGAGATTTGAAATACAAATCAAATTTGGGGCTATCATTTGTAAAAAAATGCAATTGGTTAAGTATTTTTTGAAATACTATATCTTAATGGTGATTCCTTAGTTTATACAAATATTTAATTATTTACCTGTAAAACGTTAAATTGGTTTCTTTTATACTTACATAGCTGTGCTTTTTTTGAACGAACTTCAAAAATGATGTCATGTCAGGTCTCCCGAAATGATTAACTGCCTTAAGACCAGTGAACAGAGATGTCTTGGAAAGACGTTGAAAGTGATTTTCACAAATGTACTGAAAATTTACACAATAATTATCTTAAACTCAATCATGATTACAAAAGTAAACGTAATAAACAGAACAACAGCGCCTATAGAGATCTAATTATGGTGCGCCTAATTGCAGGACAATATAGTTGGAGCAAAGGTAAAAAATTTTTGGTATACCAGTCGCTCGAAATATTCCCTAAGGAGATTTACTTTCTTAATCAGAATCTATTCATTCAGTTCAGCGGTTAATAGGCGAACAAAAATAAATGACATGACAACGACAACACTAACCATGTTCGCGTTGCCTTTTCCTACCATAAACAATCCTCGGCAATCAAACAATAGCATTCTTCGATTAATATATTTAATATTTAAATTGAAACTAATAAAAAAATAATAACACAGAAATTAAAAAAAGGAGCATAACAGCCATTGCCGTTTGCTGAAAATTGTGATGACCAGATGCCTTGTAAGCTTTGACATAATGTGTACTATAGAAATGTACAGAGTGTAGAAATAGGTGAATTCGCTTTGTTTTATTTCATAACCTATTTTTTTATCCACATTTGCTACATATTATGAGATTCGATAAAGAAAAGAAAATTTCTAGAGATGACGTTCATTACGCTGTCTGTACTTATTCATTGAACGCAATTTTTTAATTTTATATATTTAAAACAAATATTTATTCATTTTTAAAGTTCTGTTTTGTAGCTATTAGATGTTTATAATTGTGTATATTGGCCTAATAAAAAAAATCCATATACTAGAAATTTAAATTAACTGACCATTAGACTGCCTGTGGTTATTTGCATTAATTAAAGTTCTCCATATTAAAATCTGGAGCGACTGTATTATAAATAAAATATAATAAATGTATGTAATACAGTTTTTTCTTACCAGCATAGTTGTTCGTAAATCGAACTTGTGGAAAAATTGAGTAATAAAAATGTGTATTTCTAAAACACTTGTTACATCTTTTTTTTCCACGTCTCGAAGCACGTCTATGAACCATTCGAAATGTTTATGGGAAGGACATATCCACAAGAAATAAACCTGAAATAAATATAAGACAAACATAAACATGTATTGGACATTATGATTAAGACAATGTGTTTTCTTTTAAGAGATACATAAATAATAACAATTAAAGCTTGAACTTACTTTTTTACAAGCAACTCCAGAGTACCTATTGGTGGATGTACCAAATACTAAATCATTCAGTATGGAAGCGTAGGGTGTTACACCTATACCCCCTCCTACCATTACAGCAACCTCAAATTTATACCAATCTTGGTTACCACCGCCAAAGGGACCTTCTAATAATATTTTTGGATGGTCTTCTAAGTTATAATTACAGGGGTCGAAATAATTTCTAAGTTTCCACGTCCAGGGTCCTGTTAGGTAAAGACAAAATATTTTAGAAATTAGCCTATTTAAATCAGTAATGTTTCACACACCTTGAGCTTTTATGTGACAGGATAAAAAGTTTTCATGTGGCGCTGATGTTAAAGTAAACGAGTGAAATTCACGTGGCTTGAATGCAGTACATGCCAGGCGTACCCATTGTCCTGATAAGTATTTCAAATTTGGAGGACGGTAAAATTTTATTTTAATTACATCAGATGGTAGCAGTTCAGTTTCTATTACGTCTAAAGGAATGTACTTGGTTCTTAAACTAACAACCTGGAATGTAATGTAAATTTTATGATTTATTTCTTTCTTTCTTTCGAACTATATGCTTTAAGTTGTCATAAAAATAAATATTGTCTTGTACGAATGCCGTACGTAATCGATTTAGTACCATGTGTTTGATCAAAAATCACATAGCAGATCAGATAGGCGCGACAAGAACTTACAGGAAATTTTCGGAAATAATTAAAAAAATTCCACAACCACATAAATAGGTGAACAGTGTCCGACGAATCAGTAGTCGTTACAACAGAATTGATAGAAGTAGTACGTGAACGAGAAAATTAGACAGCGAGATAAATCTACAATGATATAAATAACCGATTGACAGATAAATCGCTGTACATAGTATGCTTCTGTATTAAATTAATCACTTAAGTATATATATATAAGTCTCATTTAGTAAATAAATAAACGCAATAGAAAAAATTCGTTACAATTTATTTCACTACGTCGTCATTAGCATAAAAAATAAATACATTGATGGTATTGGTCGTATTAGAATAATATAATATATAATAGGATGGTCGATTGAAATTGATCTTTAAGGCTTTTTCAAAGCAATGAGAATGGGAACATTTTAAATACTTTGACTAACAGCAAATATTAGTAGATAGCGATATGCTGCCGTAAATCGATATTACTTTTCGGAAAAGTTCAAAAAGCACTGATAACTTATAACTTGACCTGTAACTTGTAACTACAGATGTATTTCTAGTTTCTTAAATGGTCATTATCGACGATTTCTTCCACATAGGTAGTCGGGAATATCCAGCATCAGATTATTTCAGGAAGGTGTTAGGTAAATTATCTGGGCAAATTCCTTTCCATGAATTAAGAAAACGAAACGTGCCTAGGAATTATTGATGGGAGATTTGCTACCTAAGTCAGCATTCTGGGCGAAGACTCCAAGTGTATGAGCAATCTCTTCTATATTCATCGAAGAAGAATATATTGTAGATACTTTTCCTCCGCGTTATATATACTCTTATGGACTGTCCGATTAGAGCTTTAACAATTTATGAGGTGCTTCCAGAAATAATTTTATCTTTTGTCGATTTTGTTTCGTCAATTTCAATTAATATTTGTTAAATTCTACTGATTCTTTCACAGTGTACTCTCATGTTACATAACCTTATGGGCTCTTTTTTGGCCGCTAAGAGTTTTTTGAGCTCCTGACTACTAAGTTCATGATAGCTAATGGCTAATAATAGTAGAATGTAGATAGTCGATACTGACGTACTCGTGCTCCAATTTAATTATTATAAAATTGATAATACGTTTCTCAATATTGCCGACTGTATTCAAGGCTTTCCTGTCAACGGCTTTTGAGAAAGAGCCCTTTTAAGGCCTGATCCTCTGGAATATAGGTACATGGTCGCTTCCTTTTGTAGGCCTCACATGTTTACTTTATTCCTATCTTCGTCTGACGATGGTATTCAAGTTATTACCCGGAACGTTGCTGTACTTTTTGTGGAATCATTCGTTACAACAGATACACTCAATCTAGACTCACTACCTCTAATTAAGATTCCACCGCAATTACAATGTGTTGCTATTCTATATGAAATTTTCTTAATTTTTTATTTTTTTAATTCACTAACTCTTGCTTTATAACAACTAAAAGACGCATTTATTTCACTTTTTACCAGAAAAAAATCTATGCTCGCACAGACCACTGTTTCTTCTTCTTATTTTTTTAACGGTTTAAGAATGGAATTTGCTTACCTTATCTAATGTGTATATAATACCAGGTCCAATGAAGAATATCCAAAACCTAGGGGCTCCAGTTAACCTGGCTAGCCCATGAATCAAACATAGTAAGTAGAGGGCAATATATAGTTTGTGAGTGGACCAGAAAAAGTTATAAGCACGCTTACGTATTACTGGGTGTGCAAATATAAAAATTATGCACATTATGATGAATAATAGAATGCCCGTTATACCTGTATAAAATAGAAGCGAATTAGAATAGAATTCAAATACCTATACCTATAAGAATGCATACAATAGTTTCTTACCAGTTATTGTTTGGAAAAGCCAAAATGAAATCCCAGGCTTGTAATCAGAAGGAAAACTAACTTCAGTTGTAAGACATTTGAGGTTTTCCACAGGTTGAGTGGAAACATGATAAAAATTCACAATGTGACCAACGGTATGCAGTAGGGAGAAAAATAATGCTGTACATGCTGCAATTTTATGAAATTGAATGTGCGAATCTAGAGGAATGTATTGCTGTATAGAAAACTCTTTCAATTTTGTTAACAAATTCCTAGACATTGTCAGTAAGAGTATACTGTAGCAAAAGGATAATGATGCTGCTGAACCTCGAGTTATAGCTATCCCAACTCCCATAATATGACGAAGATCAGTGTGTTCAGCCATAAAGGAATAATCTGAAAAATTTAAGCCTTCATTCATTTAAATAATTACGAAGTAAATAAATAATATAAAACAACAAAGTTTGTTTATAGAGAAAATGTTTCTGTTTTGTCAATCAATAACCACGTATACAATACGCTTACGTGTAAAGAGATTTCTTGACTAATGAGTAGGTAATAGGTATTTGTGGAATGTTAGGCAGCAGTAAGAATTTCTTTTACTTTGGTTCCTCACAGCTCCGTTTGATTTTCTAATAAATCAAGAACTATTTCATTTTCAATATTGCTAATAAATAGTTTGAAAAAGTTTTAAGGCATTGAAGTTAGGTAGTCATGTGCTTGACTGGCGATTGGCATAAACCCTGGATTCAGTTTCAAAAATTTTAATAGAGTAAGCATGCAGTCATTTAAAATAAGGTAACGTAAACAAATGTGATTTATATTTATATTTATAGACAGACCCATTTAAATTATTTATGTTTTTAATTCTTTTAAGTCACATTTAATTTAAAATACTTACGTATAAATCTTTCTACAAAAAGTGCAATAGTTATCACATAAAATATGAAGAGGTAAAATATGTTCTGCCTATTTTCTTCCAAGAAGGTAGTAACACTATTCCATTTCTGCCTTAGATAAGACTTCTCAGTGTCTACCGAAGGTTCTATTTGGAAGCTGGTCATTCTAAATATTAAAAATTTTGGTAATTTTAATTCATTTTATAATGTAATAGAATCACTTACCTAGCCACGTTTGTAGAAGTATCCAAGAAATTTTGTTTCGCTCCTTTACAATCTAAACCAATGGCAACAAACTCTCCCTTATACTCCTTCATCATCTCTTTAAAATCGTCGTAAGTTAGAAAGTCTTTATGTTGAAGGCCGGCATCCTATTAAATATTTTTCTAAACACCCTTTGATTTTTTGTTTTACAAATATAAATTTCTATTCAAATTGTTTAACAAAAAGTGTTTCATTTAAAAGAGTAGTTGCGAGAAATCAACAATTATCATTTATGACAGAAGAGAATTTAGAAGTTTTAAAATAGAAAGCAAGAGAAGATTATATCATACTATTTCATTAACAAGAGTAGTAAATTATTATTTGTTGGAAGGTACCTGAAACATTCCATCTATTAATTCGGTCACGTGTTCATCGGATAAGGTTGTAGTTCGAGCAATTTCTATTAACGATCTCAGCATTTCGGATAGTTCTCCTTTATCTATGATTCCGTTTTTATCATTATCACACATATCGAAGATTATACGTAATTTATCTTCTGTCCTTCCCCGAGAAAATAGCACAACAGTATCAAGGAATTCCTGAAATTTTCAATAATAGGTATGCCTAGTATGCTTAAGTTAAATCTAATGTTTAATTATTTTATTTTGCTTGATGACTTTTTTCTTGCTTTATTTTAATTATAGGTACTGTCAAACGAGACGAATCTGAACCAAGAGATCAACGGGGAGAGTTTGATGTTTAGTTACAGAAGCATGTAGCTAACGTTTTTAGGATGGAAAGCATGGGAAATCCGTTGCAGATAAAATATCAAATGTTTTGCGAGTAGCCGTCACTTAGTTCGTAAAGGCACGTTGCTGCAGGTGACCAAAATGTCTTACGCAATAATTTTACACTTTTATATCCGGCGTAAAACTTTCTTTGGAAAAAGTATTTAGGATTGTAGGATATTAATATTGCTCCGTTAATATAATATGCCTGTGGGATTAGTTTGGAGTGTTTGATTCGATTATGTCGTGTGGTTTTTTTTTATTATTAAAAATAGAAAAAAAACATCTTCAAAGGTGAATCGGGGTATCGACATGCTCGACAGAAACCAAACAAACATGGTGGGAAAACTACTTTGATATGTGAGAAAGTTAAGCTAGTGCAATTAGTAAAATTGATTGGAAAGATGCCCATCAGAAAGAATTGTTGTTTGATTTATCGTTGCGGGCTGTCTTGATAGCAAAGGGTGAGGTTAGCAAAATTTAAGAGCAATATGTCCAGTGAGGATTAGTCGAATTTATTATCACGGCATAGAAAACTTCTCACTGAAAGATTGTGTGAAAATATTAAACGGTCGAAAAAAGAGCATAATTAGCTTTGAATAAATTGTGAAAAAACGAAATGGGATACGAGTTTCCTTTGCAAATGAAGCTGAAATCATTTATCATCTAATGTCATGTTTCTTCGTGTTAATTCAGAAAACGTGTGCCTAGTTTCCTACAGAGGAATAAAAAAATATTTATTATAAATTTTTTATTTGGATATCTATTCAGTAATGCAAAAAGTCATGTTTGTAACATAAAACTTTGAAAAAAATATTATTTCATGTTTCTCCGATGTTTCAACTGAAAAAGATCAGTAAGAAATAATTCTTTTAAATTTTTTTTTAACCTAAGGGGGGACATAAATATTACATAATTTTAAACAGCGTGACCCCAGAGCTAGGTAAATTGGGGCACTCCACAATTTATTTTTCTTATCAATTAATCAATGCAAATCAGAAGGTTATCCAATAAATATTTCAGTAGCTGTGTTAACTACGCTTATTCCTCCTTAAGTTTTAAAGCTTTTTCGATAGTTCTACAGGAAAATAATAATATTTCAAAATTCATAACATAGGCGCAGAAAATATAAAATTCATTACATATATTTCCTACTACTTATTCAAATGTAATTTATATCCCTACCTGAAAACAAATGCGTCCATCTCCGTCTTTGTCCACTATGTTAAACATTTTTTTCACGAATACAGCATCTGCTTTCATTCCCAGGGCATTTGCGAACTCTGATTTTGTCAACGATGTTCTCATGACAGTTACTACTTCATCGTCCATGCTTCCATCAGACTGTCTACGTCTTTCGCCTGGTCTTAAACCAAACGTTAAAGCATAAGCTTCTCTGAAAAAGTGTTCTAATTTTTTTTGACGACGTTCTCGAGTTTCCGCCTTGGCTAAAATTATTTCCCTTGCAACCTAAAATGTAATTTGTTTAAAGAAATTAATATGTTATTCGAAGTTTGTAAGGTAAATATAAAATACAGAAAAAAATTCAAGATACAAGAATGAGGACCAATTGAAAATACTAATTTTTTAATAAGGAAGCCTTTTTTTTAATTTTTTTTTTAAGTTTTCCGAGACACTTACATTTATAAAGTAACTATAGCACAGTTAGGGGTAATTTAGAGTAGGGGCTCGAAGAGGATCATAGGTTCCATTCGAGAGTATTTGGGGTAAATTTGAGGGTGGAAATTTGTCCTTTGAGCCTTGCAGGACCCCAGCAGTTTGATCTGCAAATATTGGGCATGCTACACTAAGTACTTGATCCCTTAGGATGAATAAAGTCTCCTAGGAGTTTCAGAACTCTGATGGTAACCTTCTTATGATCTCCACATAGATTAGATTGGCTTTTTGAGCCCACTTGTACTTTGTAAAAATATTAATATATCGATCTTCAAACCCTCTCCTAACCAAATATGTCCAGGAATCCCTGGCTGAGGTGCAATTTGTGGTTCTTTGCTTTGGAAAAGTGGCACCCGAGTATTTGTTTTAACTTTCTAACAGAGATCGAGATATTTCACGCCTGTTACAACCAGGTACTCGAGTAAAATCGGGAGAACAAATAAATGCTTTAATGGCAATGATGGAGGAAATGAAAGAAGGACAAGAAGAAATGAAACAGGAAATGGGAAAGTGTCAAGAAGAAGTGAAATAGAAAATAGAAGAGGGTCAGAAAAAAATAAAACTGAGACAAGAAATGAAGCGAGAATTAAATGCAGTACACGATAACATGATAATAGGACAAATGAAAATAGAAATGACGCTAGAATTGAAACGGAGAAGAACATAGGAAAAAGGGAAATTAGAATTGAAACGAAATTGGAAGAAATGAAAGAAGAAATTGAAAAGCTATGACCACCCACTATTGCGTCAACTGACGAGTCTGGTGCAAAACCATCAGAAACTTTTGAAGGAAGGATATCGTGGTCCATTTTCCTGAGATGGAGGCAGCGGAAGATGCAAATATATCGACCAATTCAGAGAATGCAACAACAACAGTAATTGTTTCATGAAGGGAGGCACTAGATATACACCAAGAAATTCATAGGCCTCAAAAATATGACTCCCACCATTTTGTTAACGGCCTAGAAAAGAGGTACGGCGGTAACTATTTGCAACAAGCACCTCAGACACAACGGAAAAGTCGTAACTAAAGAACGAGAGCCTTCAACAATTTGAGTCCGATGTGGAACGTCTCTGCCCTTCAAGAGTTTACAGACCAATACAAACATTTATCGATGGAGTGAAAGAAATAAGTACATCCAGTCTTCAGACTAGCATCCCACAAGACTCAAAGTGAAACACAGATGCGTTAGAATTTGAAGCGACGAAACAAGCTTCCATGGGTCGTGTATGAGTGCCACAGGCAGAAATCGGCAGTGACATAACTAAAAAAGAAGGTATCGTGTCGCTCATCAAAGAATGCGAAGAAAGCCACTTATATAGAAATGGGAGAAAAAAATTTAAAATGTTGGGAAAGTTGAATAAGTGGCCATTTTGCATGATTGCAAGAATTATAGATAGTGGTCGTCCGAAATACAACGTAGAAACTAAAATTGACAGCGCGATCTAATATAGTTGGGTATTAGTGATCGATATAATAGATGTTGCCATCATTGGATGTTCTTCAAGAACAATAAAGCAACTTAAATATTAGCACTTTTACAACACGCATCGATGGAGAGGAGATAGTAATGTCAAATTCCAATAGGAAGCTTTCCGCCTATAAGATGATCGTAGAGGAAGTTTGAGTACTACCGGATCACTAGGAGAGTCACAGTACGAGTCAAAATAGATGATGATATCAGCGGATTGGTGGGGGTAGTCGAACCAGACAATCCAAACTTGACGCAGAAAGCATTATTGGTGGGACGCATATTCATAAGCACTGGAGCATTATCAATACGTGTTAGTATATCCAATTTCAAAGACTTCGAGCAAATGACCTACAAAGGGACATAATTGGGGGTATTCAAACCAGTAGCTGAAATTTACCACCGTGATTAGGAAAAAGTACCTAAAACGAAACCGACATCACTTCCTGCAGCTTTAACAGAACTAGTGAAGCGGTATAGTAACTACATCAACAAGCACCAAATCAGGCAAATAGAAAAACTTTTTAGTCATTTTCAACATGCCTTCGCCCGTTCAGGTCACGATTTCGGAAGGACCAACTTAATATATCATCGCATTAACGCCGCAACAGCACGACCCTTCGCATAACCATCTAGAAAAATTCCCTATGCAAAGCAAAAGGAAATGAATTGCGTTATAAAAGAGGGGGTAACAGAATCATCTCAAAGTTCCCTATAGAACTGGTACGGAAGAAAGATGATTACCACGAAATATTGGGTGGACTACAGCAAGCTGAACGATGTAACAGTTACCCATTACCCCGAATAGACGACACATTAGACAGTCTAGCAGTCTAGTTCTCTACTCTTTATTTAAAAATTGGATACTGGCAGGTTGAAGAACATTTGCAAGATATAAGAAAAATTTTGCATTTACAATTGGAAATGGTCTATTGCAATTCAATGTGTTTGGTTTACTTAGCTGGTATCATCATGCTGGGAAAAACCTTCGACGACCGTCTCCGAAAACATGATTGAAATTTTCAAGAAATTGACACCCGTAAAATTGAAGCTAAGTCGCAATATCGAATTCAGAAAGGACCTCGGGCCAAAATGAAGGTAGTCCCATCTTGACCGACTTGCTTCCTACAGAAGCGACTTCATTGATTGGGACAAGCAATTTTTGGAGGGGGAGCTACGTGTATATGTCAAGGGGCTTATAGTGGGTTGTCTAGCTTTCATTAGCAACAAAGAGGATTAGATTTTCTAGATCTCACATTCTGGAATCTTTCTAGCTCAAGTGTATCGTCTATAAATATGTCTGTGAGACGACAGAAAGCGAAATAAGCGCAAAGAACCGGTAAGGTGTAAAAATTAGTAGTAGTAGTGCGAAAAGTGCTTGACTACGCGACTATATTTATGGTTGTTAATATAGCTATTTTTGTTGATATTATTATTTATATTTTCACATATTACTTAAATAAATAATATATATGAATGGAATAATTTAATAGTCAAATGCATTTGTAATGAACATTAACAAACGCAACACGTAATAACAAATGTCAGTAGATGGCGATAGATTATACCATGATATCAAATTAACTTTGTTTTGTTAGTGCTGCCATTAAAAATAGAGAAAAGCAGGAAGACAAATTTCCGTAAATTCCGTAAATAAATTTAATTGATTACTAAATTTAAAGGCTTTTATTACTTTTAAAAAGGTAATAAAGTAATGAAGGTGATGATTCTAATTAAATTACAATATAGGTATATATTAACAGGGACGGTTTAATAATAATTAATTGCGGAATGTATAAAAAAAGTTTTACACGAAATGTTTTTAAAAACCTATAAAAACTCTAACCTGTGAGAAAACCATATTTCTCTTGATAGAAGTCAAAAATTGCTCCAATTTGGTAATAAATTTTCTTCTGCATCCAATCGAATCAAACTGCAACACTAGATCGTGATCTCTTGGAACTTGTATAAGTAAAAACGGCTTCTTCTTACTCCTTCCATTTTCCATGGATTCCTCAACGGTTACACTGTCACTACCTTTAAAACATAGAGTTCTCAGTTTTTCACCCTTCCTGTCGACCACATAAATATTGAAGTCTGGTCCGAATTTAATTTTTACTAGTCTCTTATGGTTTGCATGAAGCCATTCTTGTACCACGGTTGCATCTTGACATACTTTGCCTTCGCCTTTGTTTTTAAGTTCCTCTTGCTTGATTTTCAAACGTCTTCGACGCCTGTTTTGAAGCTTCACTACGCCATAACCCGCTCCAGCACACAATATTGGAACAAAACATAAGAAAAGGCAAGAGTAAATGAAGACCACTTCGTTTCCCTACAAATTGAAAAAGGTTTAAGGGTTACTTGCTACAAAAAGTTAGTTGATTTGCAAATAGATACTTAAAAGAACTGCCATTAGTAAAGCAATGGACATTAGAATACAAATTATTAAAAAATTTTGTCGTTTTCAACTTTTTAACATTTACTTTTTCCTCTCAAAAGTATTATTGAAAGGATAAACAAGCAAGATAAAAACTACTGAAATACATAAATAAACTTACTTCAAAATAATCGTAACCACTCAGCATTTTGCAAGGTTCTAACGAAGAGGCATTAAGTTGTTCAGGCTGTGGACAGGGATCCCCATTGTTCCAAAAAAATACGTTTTCTTGAATATCTGTTGGTAATATATCTGTACTGTTCACTATTATATCCCACAATTTGATTTCCTTTATCTGAGATATTTCTTCTCTTGTAAATATGCTATAAGAGACAAACTTGTTTTAGATATTTCAATTATTAATCAACTTGGCGAAACTATATATGAATAAATATTTATACTATAAAAAAAATTATTAGAAAGGTATCACTTTCGTTGTAATATCTGTAGATGTGCTAACAAGACGACTCATAAAATGAAACGTAAATAAGAAATGAAGAAAGCTGCAAAGGTTCAGGAAAGCTACAAATATACCATATACAGACAAGAAGGCAAAGTATGTAAAACTTATTGTATCAGTTTTGAATATATAGTTTTTCCATTGACGTTATAATTGTGTTAATCTACCAACCTTCCAATTGATATTAAAAGAATCAGGTTAAAAATCATTTATCACATACACTAATTACTCGATTGGTTTTTTGGTATGTACTCTGTAAAACGTTACCACATTTTTCAAAACCTCATGAGCCTTTTCACACACGACAGCGGGGCCTTATTGCACTCGTATTGTATAATGCGAAAATATTAACTCAGTTGTTAACTAGTTATTAAGTCTATTCTTTTCTTATTTACATTATAATTATTTATAAAAAGGACTTACCCGTTTTCAATATTTTCAAACCAAAATCGATCGGCGTCTCTAAGTCTTATAAACTGTTCAACAATAACAGCAGAAAACAGTTCGCCAGGTTCACCGAAACTTTCTAGCATTCCCCCTACGTAGACATCAACGTTATCTAGTCTATTGGAATATGCTGCCACAAGCAGTCTGAGAATTTCCGGATTTTCTTCGAACAACTTCGGATTGATTTCGTTCCAAGTTCTTTTCTTTGGCAATTTGTAATATGAACGAACTGTGTTGTAATCGGCCAAACCGTTATCGCGACCCCTCATAATATTTAATGCCCCCAAATCTCGCCGAGAAAACTCCATCGGACCAAACAATTTGTCTCTGACGTCGGCACACAAGAATGAGTCTTCCCTTTCTGATATTTGCGATGACATTCCTAATAATAGCTCCTCGAGAGAACTAGCCAAAAGAACGTCCTGAAAATAATATAAATTAATCACTTTCGTGTACTTTTCGTCTTGTAGTTAATAAAGTTTTGTTAAATGGAGACAATTCGATATTAAGTAAGTAGCTCCCTAATATGTTGCTGCCCGAATCCATTTATTTAATAGTGATCGCCGATTCTTATCAATTTAGGCTAATTGTACTGACTTAAAGGAGCCTTCATGAAAATATTTAATCAAACAAATCTTAAAACGCAGACTTCCGAGACATTTCGGTTTTGAATAGCTAGGGAGCAAACACGCACACCACGTACAATAAGTGTCCAAAATGACCTAGTCAACAAGGCCGTACCGTTTTTCCAGGCAAATACATAATCTTTAAAAGTATGTAGCAAGCAAATAATAGCTCACTAATTGTTCACTTTTACTGGTAGCGATGATAATTTTCTTGTACACCCCATTTTTTTGTCTTGGACAGCTTTGTTGAACTGTTTCTTTACCTGTAATTATCATGATAATTTTCTTTTAAAACAGTGAAAACGCCGTAAAACAGTACCTAGGTTCCATACAAATGACTTTGTTCTTGTTTGCTATTACTTCTGTCCTGCTTAAAAAATATGTGCGACAACTGAAATATCAACTCTTGTAAAACGGGAACTTTTCCTTTCAATCGGAACACATTTGCAGAAGCAGATATTCCGAACAAGACAACACTATTACCTTAATTCAAATAATATCAATTGAAGGTACTCCTTCGAAAAAGCAAACCGGTGGCGGTATAACAAACAAAACAATTGTCAAATGTTGTAAAAGTCTGATACTTTTCGCATTTGGTATCCTGCAGCTTGGTGTCTACTTCACTGAGCAAAGTTAAAAAGATAAGGAAGAGGCAAAAGGTTAAAGAAGAAAGTGATCTGTGAAGAACTTTCTTATAATGATAACTTAGATATGGGCGCAGGTGAAAACGGTGTATTTTCTGTAGGTACTGGAAATATTTTAGACGATCAGCATGGAGAAGCGTGGTTACAGTGCTCAATTTGTTTCCGATGGATAAATGAAGATTGTGCTGGTAGTGACAAACGTGTGTGATTTTTGCGTTGATAAATATGTTCTCAATGTAAGGTTTTAACAGTACTAGACTATATACTCCGTGCGTTTTGGACAATATACCTCACCTTTCATGATTACTTTAGTTGGCTTTTTAGCATAGAAGTGGGCCATTATTAGAGAATTTCTTCAAAAATTGATCATTTATGTTTTTTAAATATTTTTTTTTACATGAGCGCAATCTCCCAACACTTTGTCTTTCATATATATGCATATTGTAAACACTAATATATATGAAACATTTTTAGAAGTGGTTAGCTTTTAATATGAAATATTAATTTGAAAATTCATTTATCGAATTTTTTATTCACCACCTCAGGTTAATGAGGGGAAATTGTTGCTGTTGGCCACACCCTCGCCGGGAATCGAACCCGGGACCTTTGGCTTTACGTACCAATGCTCTGACTACTAAGCTACGAGAGATGACAACAGCAACAAACCGTATTAGGTCACAGATCTGTCGAACTAAATATATATGAAATTACACATTACAGGTTTTAGCAGAAAATTACAGAGGAATAACACCCATAAGCACAAGTTACAAAATCTGTGCTAAAAAAGACTTGAGAAAGAATTAGAAGATAGAAAGGCATTAGGAGAAACACAGCTGTACTGCAGAGAAATCAAAAGCACTGTTCGTGCAATCTATGTAATCAAAACAGCGTGTGAAGAATAAATAAAGAAAGAAAAAGGCGAAATATTCCTCTTTTAGCGGAATGAAAGGGGCGTGTTCGATATACTCAAAAGAGACATGGTATGCAAAACCTTAGAAAAATTAGAAAAAAATAGGAAATTAAGAAAGAGGACAGAAAAAACGTACGAATAAACTTACTTTAAGATACAAATCAACGATGAGAAATACAAATAAAAAGTAATCAAAGAGGGAATAAGAGAAGGTTGTCCACTAATCACCGCACTTTTCAACGTGTCATTTACAGATTTAGTCAACAAATTAAGTGCAGTACAACAAGGGAGAATAGTAAATGGTAGAAGAAAAATCTAGTCAGTTTCATATACAACAACGAACGAGGGTTAAAAGAAATGATGCAAAAATTCAATAAATATATAAAAGAAGGGGTTGGAATTAAATAGAGATAAGTCAAAAAAGTGAAAAAGTCAGGAGAAAGAATGAATAAATTAGAATTCTCGAAAAATAATCGAAGAAAAAAAATAAAAAACTGAATCTGAAATTAGGGGCCTTTCTTCTAGGTAAAGTAATATTTATTGCCTAAAGTTAAATCTCTGTGCCAATTTTGAAATTATTATGAATATATTGTGAAATTGTTATCAAAATACGAAAATAATATGTCACCTTCAACACCATCTTTCTCTACAGCAAAATTTTATCAAGGTTTGTTCGGTCATATTTTCATATTTTGGTCCAAAAAACCTGCAGTTGCTATATGTTCCAATAGTTATGACTTGCTATGTAGAAAAAAAGTGATAAATGTCAAATAATTAAATTAGATAATATTTATAATTATTCATTAGTAATAACTTCTACTAAGTGTTTTGTTGAAGTACTAATTCTATTCTTACTTTTAAGACGCTTTAATAAAATATTCCGAAGTTTTAACATTGCCGTATCAGGAAGCAGAAACCGTAGGACACTATTTAGTAACTAAAATAATAACAAGTAAGGTAGGAATACCAGAGACATTAATTTCCGAACACGCCACCAACTTTTTTGAATTGAAAGATCGCATAGAGGTTTGGCCGAGTATCTGATAAATGTTCGTAACCACGAACAAACAAATTGGGACTGTTAGTTGGATTATTAAAACACTAGCCCTCATACAGCGAGAGATTACGCTCCTTATGAGTGAAGGGAAAAATCGAATACTTTTACCTCGTACTCGAGAACTTTTAGAAATCAAATACATTTCTGAGTAGGTACCGAGTACATTCTGAGTACTTTCGATGTGACGCGACGGTAATCATAAAGATAATCGATACGAATGATTATTACTTGTAGTTATCAGAATTGTATTACTTTATTTGTAATAAGTGTTTGTAAGTTTAATATGAATACGACACTGACCACTTACATAATATAGAATATTATAGAATTAAAAAATAGTGCAGCTATTAATACAGACAGCTGAAAAAAGGATGTAGAAAAAGTAAACGTGACTATAAAAGAGTGAGCTTATGTTAATGCAAATTTCTGCTATGCAAAATACTGCTAATTATGTCAATGAGGCACTTAGTAATACTGTTTATGATAAATTAATTCTTTAGAAAAATTTAAATATCCTCGGAAGTATTTCAAAATCGTTATATTCAGAAAAATCAAATTCCGTTAAAATTTTCATATAAAAATGAGTTTCTTAGAACATGCAAATTTATTGTTAGAGTATTAAACCAGCATTAGAGTGAAGTACAGAATTTAAAAAACGCGTTAACGATTGCACGCTTTTGGTGTAAAAAGAGGATCCTTTATTTGAATTATAAAAATAACGTAACTGTATACGCATAGTAATTGCTATTTTTTTTTAAATTACTTACTGTAAAGATACGAAAAAATGGAAACAATTTCCTATATACACTACCACATCAATTGATTTTAAGTTACCTTTACAGTAAATTAGATACAGTATAATTATTTCAAATATTATGGCGTAGTTTAATTTGTTACGTTTAAATTTGCAGAAACTAATTAATACCATAAAAACTTATTGGCATGACTTTCTGAAACATACAGTAATGATCTTCTTTTATCATTGTGAAATATTGCTTGAGATTATCCAAAAAAATACACCCATCTTCAACTGGAATATCATTCTATATTGGTGTGTCCATAACTTTTACAGGATTTTAGGTACTTTGATAGTGTATAGTGTTTAGGAAATTAAAAAATAAAAATGATAAGGTGACTTACATTGGAATCCCACCATGTCGAACATAACCGAATAGCCAGATGACCCATGGGTGTCTTCTTAAAATTGCATTTATTGTCACGCCTGTAAAGTCCTGGAGGTATAAGGGAATGACCAAATCGAAAGGCAGCACTTTGAAATTGATGAGTCACTCCAGGATGGACATCCTGCTTGTATCCTTCGTATTCGGGGAGATCCTTGCCAAGAAACGCTGGTAGGTATTCGTAAAAAATGATGTTCTGTTAAGACGATGGCCGTTTTTAGGTTCTGGCAAATTAGTAATATAAAATCTCTAAAACCTTAATCTTGCTCAATGCAGTCACAAGTTATTCTCTTTATAATTTAAAAGTAACTATTACAATCCTACAAATTTTTGCGTAGATATATATTAAAATGTATTTATTTGTCTACTCGCATCAATAAGAAATAATATGGAATACAGGGGTTGTTAAGAAAGTCCTTATAACACTGAGAAGTAATAATCAGAACTAACTTAATTTTGAAAATTTGGTATTCGTAATAATTTAATACGAACTTTTAATGAAAAATATTTTTAATTAAGTTTCACTATCGGTTATACCGGAAATAGGCACTAACTGTGTTATTTTAAATAAAACACCCTGTATGTCTTTGGTGTCATATAAATATTTTTTATAAATTAATGCAGAGTGTTCAAAAAATTAATCTGAATATTGAGAACTTCAGACAATAGAAACTTTATTTTAAATGAAACACTACGCATATTTCACATATTTGCGGACAAGCGGACTTTTATTGTGTACTATTTGGCATCATACCTATCATTTACCTTTAAGAAAATATCAGTAATTTTTGTAAATTATGATCAATTTTAACGGTTTTCAAATGTTAACTCGGTCATGTATTGAATTGTCATTTCAATTGTTGAATAATTCTGTATTATTTAATATTAATTTCGTTTTTGGGATTGTATACTTTTTTTAATTAAAAAAAAATTAAAATACAAAATGGAAAATGAAGTCGAAAATTACAGAAATGCTGAAATATGATATTTATTTTATGTAGATATGTGGAAAATGTGACAGAAACGTTGTTCGAATATGTCGTTTGTTTAACAAACAAAAATATGGCAGAAGATATATTTAGAATTAGTAATTTCTTTCGCAAACGTTCATTCAAAGAATATTGTTTTCATTTATATCTTTATAAGCATGTATAATTGTTTTGAACAGGAGACTCGGATTGGAGAATGGAATTATGTCAGTTCTTTATAAATAAAATAAATAAAGACGCCTCGAGCTCTTTTCAAAAATTATTTGGACGGATGAATCAATGATGAATTAGCAACAGAAGAAATTCATACTTAGGCTCAGGAAAATTCGCACTTGACTAGTGACAGAAACAGAATAAATTCAGTTTTAATGATTTTTCTCTTTTAATGGATAATAATGTTGGATTTAAAATTTATCGGGACAATTTAACAGTTGAATGATCATACAGTTACTTCATTAAGTATTAGTGACGAACTCTAAGATAATCTGTCATTAAGGATTTTTTGTTAGTATCAATTGGAAAGTGCTAAAGCACACACGGTATGGGTGTTTGGTCATCAACGTATTAAAAAGATAGGTCAGTTGTAAGAGTAACAATAACCCTATCACCTGATTTAACTCCATTTCTATTTATAGAGTTTTATTAAGGGGAAAATTTACGTGAAAGACAGTGTGGACATCTATTCTAAAAAACAGAACATAAAAGTATATGTTTAAGGATTACTAAAAGTTTAAACATGTTTTGTTCTGAGATCTTATTTAGCAAAAAATTACAACAAAATAGAATAAAAAAGGGTAAACATTTTAAAAAAGTACAATAAAAAAGAACCTTGTGTTAACTTGAATTGACGAAATTAGAATAATTATAAGTACAAAATCAACGTCACCTTTTCGTTTAAAATCAACAAAAGTTTATATAAGCGATATAAGCTACCTGCTGCTTTGCACTGAAGTGAAGTAAATGTAAGCCATGACTAGCTTGATGTTACTTATGATATATGTTCCACCTTATTATGTCGATAAATAATTGGTGCACACGCAATCTTATAAAAATGCGAAAATGTCAATTGTGTACGTTCATAATAGTGGATTCGTTCTAATTTTGTATTTTCTGAAGTTAATATTTATTTTGAAATTCGTACGATAAGGCGATAGTGTATTACCTGTAAAGATGCTACAACGATTTGTCTTGTTCGTTGAAATACTTCCTCGTCTGACCAGTCAGGTTTCTGCTTTTGGACTCTACCAGCTACCACATTGTGCCAGCAGAAGAAAAGAATACCAAAGGTCAACAGTGCCGGGTTTTGATTAGATCGAGGATCTCCTAGCACTGTAATAAGTGATCGATTCATTAGATGCTTACACATAACTACTTCACTGGAAACAATATTTTTTGCATAAACACAACATTATTCATCTTATCCTAATATATCAGCAATAAGGAAGTGGGTTTCTTTATTTTAATTAGCATAACAAATAATAATAATAGGTTTATTACCTCATAGTAAAACGATTTGCATTACTGTTAAAGCCAGAAACTTTAATAATTGTAATTATGCTCTCAAAATATGCTAATGATGCACTTTGTGATAATCACTACAGTTTTTTAAAAGTAAGTTTCCGAGCTGTAGACCATAATAATTTTAATTGATTTTAGCGATGTCATTGACCAGGATTTGCATATTCATAAACTTTTGTAATATGTTTTTCTAATAAATTAGTATAATTATATAATTATTATCAATGAATCTCCAAAGTTTAAAAAAACTATATAGCGGAAATTACAAAAACGTAAATGTTAATCAGAGGGTAATTTAGGATACATATGCCTTTAGTTATTCTTAAGTGCAATATTATAGGTAATAAATGATAAAATTGTGCTACTAAAACTACAGTAGCTGATAAATGCTTTGAGAATAGGGTTAAAAGTAGGTATTCCTGTTCATATATTCACAATTTGTATTGACGTCGCAGTTGGAACATTTTAAAACAAACTTTCAACAGGTAATTAAATTAAAATAAAATAAAATTTACCTCTTAAATGTTTCAGGAACTTAATATAATTTCTAAATATGTTTTTTTGAAATACTATTACTAAAGTTAATAATTTTCATATGTCTGTTAATTGTAACCTGTTTCTCTAATTGTTTGTGAGAAAAAAAATTTCATCCCTGCAGAGCTCAGGAAATATGGAATATTAATGTGAGGACTAAAGAACATATAACAGGCGTATCACTTAGAAAAACTGATATTTATTAGCATATACAAATTGACATTGTACAAGCCTTAATCATAATGTAGCTCCTCAAAAGTGATTTTATATACCTAGTGAATATAAGGCGCGATAGGGAAACACAAAGTTCTTACTTCTAAAGTGTATTATAATTTGTCGCTAATTTGTTACTAGATCCATAGATTTTATTATTAGTCTTCCAGCAATTAGAGAATAACTAGGTACTATATATTGATGGGCTTGAGAATATTTTAAACATTAGTGTAATTTGTAGGTACTATTGAAATACGTATATTTCGCTTTACGAGGGTTTGTACTTCAAAAATGGACTGAAACAAATTAATGATGATATAATCATCAACCGTTTCTAAAATTGAAAATGACGTTCAATACTTGACTTTTTAGAGCTAGATGGAGTTACGAGTAATAATCTGTGGACTATAAAATTAAGTCATTTACCAAATTTTCCTAAAATTGTTATTGTCAAAAGACGCGTCAGTTTTCATTTTTGTTATTATTAATTTACGTGATTTAAATTCATCAGACTGTAGCAGTGATGACAAAAGTATTTCGAATTTTTAGATATTTTAATGCGGCACAAACTTATGTTATTTTAGTTTTAGGATTTTTTTTTAATAAATGCCGTTTATAGTCTTTTTTCACCCATGGTCATGTGTATTATTTAGGACTTTATAGTTCGCAGTTGTTTACGGTGGTGTCGCGAAAAATGCGTACAGTCTCACTAGCAAAAGGCAAATTACATCGTAATAGAGAATACTGCTGCGTCTACTTGCGAAATATGCCTACAAGTCATTTCTGATTTCCATCACGCATTTTTTAGGCTTCGGACTGGCGAACTAATTAATTTCGAAATGAACAGTGTATATTTGAGAAAATTGGTTGCTGCAGCTTTTGAATGTTTCGTCCATAAAGAACTCCTTTGAATGTAAAGTAGACATACTTCATATGCTCTTTTCCCAATTTTTCGCTCAGAACAATAATCCGTTCCGCTTCTTTATTGCTTTCTATGGAACTGAACTTGCCATCCATCATCAAAGTTCTTTCGTCAATTAGAATTTCTTCTCGATTTTTAGATTCCTTTTTATGTCTTTGAGTCTTGGTGCGCTGGTGATACATAATTTTTTTTTAAAGAAAGAGTATTTGACACGTCGATAACAAACTTATATCCTTTGTTGTGAATGTTCCCATATACAAATAGATTATAAATGATTGTTGTTTCAGATTATCGCATTTATATATTTACTAATTTTTACATTGGATCCGAATTATCTTAATCCAGTTGAAATTATGGGTAATAATTGTTTAGTCATTGTTTGAGACTACGTTGTTTAGAATTTTCCAGTATATGCCGAGTAGAAACCTGGTCTTCTTTGTCACTATGTATATTGGGTTGCCTACATAAATGTAGCACTGCTCCCCCTCCTAAAACTGATCGTCCCGATCAATGATGTCGCTTCTGTGGGGAACAAGCCGATCAAGATGGACGATTTCATTTTTGCCCGAGGTGCCTTTCGAATTCGATAAACAACGTCGTTGATGCGTCGAGTAACGTTGTATGAACCATCCCCATCAAATCGCAGTTTCGTACGCACAGCATTATGGATGGCTTCTAGTCGTTCTCATAGTTTGCCCACGTATTCATCTGTAGGTACTGAAGAGTCTCCAGGACGACCAAACATCATGTCCGTTGGCAACCTGAGTTCTTTCCCGAATAAAATGCTGGTTGGTGTTCCTCCAGTTGTCTCATGGATGGCGGATCTATAAAGTAGGAGGAATAGTGGTATGTGTTGGTCTCAGTCAGTTTGGTATTCGTTAACGATGCGAAAGTAGCGTTAAATCATTTAACCATTCCATCAGACTGTGGATGTAAGAACGTAGTCCTCGTTTTAGTAATGCTCATTAGTTCAGTGATGTTCCTGAACAAAGCTAATTTGAAGTTCCTGCCTTGGTCGGAGTGCGATTGGTACTCTATATCGGCTAATCTAGTCATTGACAAGCTTCTCAGAAACGGTGTATGCTTCCTGATTCAATATCGCATATGCTTGTTAAAGTAAGTAATCCATGAGTACGAAGATATATCGGTTACTGGAGTCTCTCATTGGGAATGGTTCTGCCGTTATACTGTTGCATTCGTCCACGACTCCTTGTCTTCGTTTCCTTACTGGTGGAGCATGTCGGGCATTTCCTGCACCAGTATTCTATATCGCGTCTACTTTGTGGCCAATAAAATCGCTCGCGTCTTCGTAATGCTGAAATGTCCTTCGCCGTGGACTGCTTCTAAGACTTCTGAAATTCTTTTCTTCGGAATTATCATTTAAAGTTTGTTTCTGGTTCCATCTGGACCTTCCCACATTATTTTCAAAACTCCGTGGTTTAAGTTAAGGGAAGTCCACTGTGCTCAATAGCTTTTCGTAGATTGATTTAGGTGGCTTATACCTGACCACGATGGTCTTGAGCTTCCAGCTTCTTTCCATCTCATTATTGGGCGAACATCTTCGTCCTTCCTCTGGTCTTCGACTAACACCTAGCTTTCTCAGGATCTTTTAGGCTGAAGGGTTGTTAGATTACAAGAGATCGATCCTTCTTCTATATAGATGAAAAATGTTTGTGGTTTTTTACGGAAAGTCCGGGATAGTGCATCTGCGTGACCGTGTTACTGTAACCATCGTCCAATATGTCTTTGGGTTCTTAAATTGCAGTAGCCACTTAAGGGAAGCGTGATCCCTTCTTAAGGGGAACATCCGCTCATAGAAGTACTTGTGGAAATGTTCGAGGGTTTTAACTACGGCTAGTAGCACTCGACGAGTGACAGAATAATTTGGTTCTGGTTTCGAGAGTGTCTAAGTATCCAATGACTTTTTTCTTTGTTTGGAGCGCGGCGGAAAAGAAAAGGTTAGAAGCCTTCGAAATGTGGTGTTATAGGCGAATGATGAGGATAACGTGGGTAGAAAAGGTTAGAAATGAAAAGGTATTAGAAAGAGTAGGAGATTAGAGGTCTAGTCAGACATATTAGAGACAGAAACAGGAATGAAGAGGGGTAGAGGTAGACTTAGGTTAGATTACTGTTCGCAAATAGTTAAGGATGTGGGTTGTTCTAGTTTTAGGGAAATGCGAAGTTTAGCTCAGGATAGGAAAGAGTGGAGGTACGTGTCCAACCAGTCTTAGGACTGACGACTTTATGATGATGATTTTACTTGGGATGACATACCACCAAGTTCCACATTACTAGCGTCGGCATGCACAATAAAGGGTTCGCTGATATGTGGGTACGTCAAGATAGGGGTTCCAGAGAGTGTAACCTTCACTTGTTCAAATGCTTTTTGGCATTCGGGTGTCAATGGAATGAAATTCCTGTAAGTCTGTGTAGTGGTCGGGCTATATCGGCAAATCTTCGGTAGTAGGAGCAAACTCCCAGACAACTTCGTGACGATCCTACGGTATGGGCCGTTTTCATACGGTATCCTCTTTGTCGGTGTCGGTCATATTTCCTTTTGGTGTTATGACATGGCTTAGGTATTTCATTTTTCGTCTTAACATGCATTTCTTGGGACTTAGCTTCAGTCGTGCGGCTGACAAGTTCTTGAACACTTCGGTCACGTTTCGGAAGCGGTCGTTGAAAGTCCTTCCTAGTATATTAATGTCGTCTAGATGAACCAAATAGATTATTCAGTTTCATCCTTGTAATACAGTGTCCGTCAGCTTTTTGAATATAACTGGTATATTACACAATCCAAAAGGCATCACATAGACCTGCTATAGACCATTTCCTGTTGTAAAGGCAGTCTTCTCCTTATCCAGCGGATGCCTGTTCACTTGCCAGTATCCACTTTTCAAATCGAGAGAAGAGAATTATTTAGCTCTTGCTAGACTATCTAGTGTGTCATCAATTCGGGGTAATGGGCAGCTGTCATTTAGCGTTACGTCATTCAAGCTTCGTATTAGGATTTGACATTACTATCTCTTCTCCAGCAATGTGCATTGTAGAATTGCTTAGATTTAAGTCGATTCCATGTTCTTGAAAAAGGTCCAATCCAATGATATCATCATCTATAGTAAATGATGACATCATTGGACTCAAATTGCTAAAGAGTCTCGTGACTTCTTTTGGTTACGGCTTTTCAATTGCGTCTGATGTACCTGCTGAAGGTGTTTATCGCTGCACCTCATTTCTAGGTGGTTGACAAGATGGTGGAAGTAATACTGTTGGCACTCGAGCATTCCTTGGAGTATATACAGCGTCTCTCCTTGTAAAGGAATTATTATAGCTGTGTTTTTTTCTGAATCAATTCAGGAATTTGATTCTGCCGCTGTTCCAAACTGCTTCAGGTAAACAGATCAAAAGATCTTAATGTCAAAAGTGGAAGGTATAATTTTCGATGGCCTAGCATCGGAATCTTCAGGTCTTGCAGTAGAGAGTTAGTCTTAGTTCAATTATTATTCGAGAGCTTTCCAATGGTATATCACTTGCTAGGGTTTCTCGCAGTTAATGGAAACTTCAGAAAATTGGCCGATGAACATTCTGGATTATTCGATGGAATGCTTCAAACTCCTCCTCCTTCGTTTCCAATCCCCTTTAGTCTTCTTCAATCCCACTTCTGACACTAAATGTTACATATTCAAGCTCCTTCTCACATTACTATTACTCCTGTTTAATAATTTACTGACTAAATAAAACTTCTATTATTAATTAGTTAACAATTTACCACTATATAAACATTATCACTTCTTCGCTCTTTCTTCTTTTTCTATCGCCTTGAACTCTCTGACTCGTACTAACTCCACTCGATCTCGCGACAACTATTTATAGAGACTATACGTTTTCTAGAACATTCTATTTAGTGTATGTCGTCTAGAAACTTGGTTTTATTTGTCACTATGTATGTTGGATTGCCTATATACATGTGACAATATGTTATTTTTATTAAATTTTGTAATTAATTTTTTTTTTTAATTGGTATATTTAAAAAATATGTACGATAAATTATATTGCAACTAAAACAATATAGTACCGAAGTGAGAATGAAGCTGAAGGAAATTATTTTATTTAAAGTTCGTGGCTCTGAAAACAGGGATTTTTTCGGTTGTGGTATTGCGATGACATTATTAATTTAATGAAATTAAAAAAAACACTGTGACTTACGAAATAATCTTTCTGGGCTAAGCATTTTCATAACTTCTGATACTGGATTGTTAAAAAGAGGTACCCTCATTGAATTTCTAATGGGCATCTTTCCCGTCCAGTCGGTTAAAAATGTTCCGTTTTGAAATGATCTCATAGTGTTGACCCATGGTTCACTTGTACTGTAGATAAAGCTGCCATCAATCCAACTTGTTACTTGATTAGTCTGTAACAAAAAAAATCAACAAATATGTGACGTTTGTAATACGTAGGCGAATTTATTTGCATTCGCCCCGCACATATGAAAAACTACGCGCGGGCGCAGACTAAACAGACCAATTTAAATGTTTTTTAATAGAGTAAATAAAATTCTAATCCGAACATCTTCGCGGTTGTCGCCAGTATCTATTCTTTCAGTTGAAGATATCTGATTTGGGTTTTACGCCACTAACAGTTATTATACGTAGCTCAATACTCTGCTTGTGTAACTGACGTGTTTATTGTACTATTTTTTTGACAAGACGAAACTCTATCATGAAGTACTCTTAATTAGAGAAGTGGGAGCCCCTATAAGGTTTTGTACTTTCGTTGTTCTGAATTGCCACAAAAATAGAGGCACTGACCCACAGTGGCACGTCTTATCTCACTCTACAATAGGAACAATGTTTCACAAAAAAAAGGAACAAGAGAAAAAAAAAATTATTAATCTTCGTCTGTGTCCCGTGATTAATGACGAAGTTCAAACAGGTATTTTAACATGTAATGCTGGTGGGCGGGCAGTCCCTCTGGACTACGCCGGAAGGTAGGGCGGAAGGCCCTCTTCAGCCTGCTTTCAGGAATCGTGGGAATGGGTGGGTGGTGGTTCGGGTGAGAAAGATGAGACGGACGAAATGAAGACAGAAGAGAATGAAAGATTATCTGTGGAATATTACTGCCTCAGCATTTGCCTAGGTGATCCCAGGAAACCACAAAAAAACTTGGACCAAGACAGACGGACCCGGAATCGAACCGGCGTCCTCCCGAATGCTAAGCAATGGTCTACACCTCTAAGCCATGCCGCTCGGTACTTCTATCTTCCCTGGTCAAGACGAACTAGCAATTTTTGCGTATTTTACACAATTGGTTGAAAGACGGTCCCGGGGCTATATAATGACACCCTGTCGAAATTTCATTCTTTGATGACATATCTGGTTACAACCCTAAATTTACCTGAGGTTACGTAAAAAATGCTTATCGACCACTTTTCTAGTTCTTTTGATTTGTAACTTTTTTATGGTTATCTCATTGTACTAATTAAGTTATAATGATAGAAGGTTTTGTTGGGGTTTGCCCAATCTTTGCAATGAATATGGGATCATTTCAGGCCCCCCATAAAAATTTCAACATACATATGTAAATACATAAAAGAATCTGAATAAGTTACTAATATCTCACAACGTAAGTATAAAAGGTCCTACCACTACTAACGATTACAATCACTGCCAATTTCAGGAAAATATATTGTAAACACGTCAATATTGTTTCACCACTCAGTGGTATCATCAGGTAATGAATATACAAACTTAACTGATCTATATCTATATATATTCACGAGGTGGGAGGGAAGTGCTTCTTAAAGTTGATACAATTAATATTAACTATTCCCTTCTATTTGATCGTTTGAAATCACTCCTTTTTTATAACATCTATTAATTTCTAATTGTTCTGGTAAATTTAACTTGACACTATTATGCTATCTATATAAAATTCTGTAATCTCTGTTGAAGTTATGACTATTATCTAATAGATGTTCTGCATAGGTGGATTCCACTTTTTTATTAGAAAAGCTTTTAAAATGTTTATGCGAATTTTGAACTTTCTGCCTGTTTGACCTATATATACTTTAGGACAATCTTTACAATTTAATAGATAAACTCCTGAATCATGCTGTTTAGGGGTTCTACATTTATTATTTATTATAAATCTACTTAGAGAATTATTAGTCCTAAAACTTATAAAGCTATTGTTTACACGTTTTAAAATTTTACTATCTTTTAAAGATGAAGGTAATAAGAAAAACAATTTATTAGGTTTGTTTAATATATTTTCTGCTACTACCATTAAGCAAATTAATCAATTAACATATTCTAAAACTCTAACTGAACATTTCAATTTATAAAGAAGTCTGATTTTGGTTTTAGAGGGACATTTCTCAGAAATAATACCATCAATTTTGTTTGCTAAACATAACACATTACATCCATCAGTTATTAATCCAAATCAATTAAAGGATGAATTGATAAAAGCAACTTTTATTCTAAATTACAATATTACGATCCATAGCACCAACATAGAAAAATATATTTGCGAAGTTAAATTAAAAACACATTCATATCTACTATAAAATTCCTTTGGAATACCCAATCCGTACAATTAAATTAAGTATTGAAATATGGCATTCTTTCTCTGAAAAACATTAGTTTGTCATGTTAACCGAATCAACTAAAGAAGCAATTACATGTGAAAATCAAGTCAACCCTGTAATGAATATTCATTTTTATGGAAAGGGAATGTTCTCCATGATGCGTAAATGTAGATGTTATACAATCGAAAGCGTCCTCCTTTCATCATTTAATAAAACCGGAAACACTAGTCATAATCCGTCAATCAACATTGCAGAAGATAACTGCATACGTTCAACAACAAAAATGCGAAGGGGTGGAATTAGCCGACATTGATTTGAATCAACTACCAACCGCCAAACATCAACTCCAACAATTTCATAAGATTATTCAACCAAGTATTTACAACATTGTCATTATCAGTCTAATTGTGATAATTTTAATAGTCATGTATTATTTTTGTTGCTGTTCTTACTCATATTTTAAATATTTTATTTGGTTTAAACATTTTTCTAAACAATGCCACGAATGTTATACAAAAGTTATATGTATAAATAATAGTTCTGGAAGCGATCTAAGTTTAAATACTCTTACTCGTCAAGATTCTGCAGGATCTGTTCACTTCTTCCAAAAATATATTAAGGAAGTATTATTTTCTTCACCAATTGCTCGCGAAAATTAACTAAAGACAAAGCGTGTACTTCCTTTTGGATTAATTTTAGTATATTAGTTAATCCAAACCCTTAGACGGGAGGTATGTCAGGATCTACCCTGAATATAACTATTACAGATATATAACATCTACTAAATAATGTATTCTATTAAATAATCCAATTACCAAGATTAATAATGTTTTATGTTAAGTACTCAAATTACCAAATGTACTAAATAATGTCTTATGTCAAGTAGGTACCTACTATAATCTTTTACACATCGATGACAAATTATTGTAAACATATTTTACTAACAATTAGCACGTAAATGAAGAATTAATTTCTGATTTATATCCATAAGGATGCAACCAATATTTATGTAATAATAATCTCAGCCAGAAAATATCAAATCCAGAACTCTTGGTAAGCATACTGCCTGATTTCTGTTTTATTATAGTTTGTATTGTGTTTAAAGTACAATATAGGTAAAAGTTCTGTGAGTTCTATTTTATTTCCATTTGGATCTCAACATAAATTTGGCGCAGTCCAAAAGAGTTTTTAGGGTACCATATATGTATAAATATTCCCATCGTAAAGGTAAATTAAATTTGCTAGAACATCTAGAAACTAACAAATTTAGAATACAAGATGTAGTTTTAATGACAAAGAGACTATTATAATTTCCTTCTCCTAAATTTGTAAAAAAAAATGTACCACTAGGTATATAGGAGTACTCTCCTTTCAGGCATATTTAAAAAATTCTCTGAAGAAATATTTAGTAGTAACTACAATCGCCTGATGAAATCAATGTTTGACAAACCATAGGTATGTTGCAAACTAATAAAAGGTTAGTGAAATCCTTTAGGTTGCATATTTCATTAATGCATATATAACTAAATAACCATTCAATTTATAATACTGCAGAAATTGTAATATTTTCTCGCATTTTGACTACCTTTTTTAAATAGGTACAACGTAATATCAGTTCTTGGAAGCTATACTAAGTTTTATGTCTAGTCTTACACATTTAAATGCGTAGAAGCATAAATAACGTTTTTTTTTATTTCCTATGAAGAAGTGTATCTTTGACAGTCATTCACTGTCACTTGATATTAAACTTCAAACAAGTGCTCTTAAAGGTCACGTAATATCGTAGATTTATTAGCTGCGGTGTTTTTTACGTTAGATTTTGTAACAGCGATAGTAATCTCCATGAAAAACCCAGGAATCCTCGTAATACCTTCTCCAGGTCGGACAGTTTTATAAGTAGGCAATCTGCATGATATCCGGTTAACTCCTAGTTTACAGATTTAATTTACGTTCCAGAACAATGAACAATGAACTCTAAAATATCAGGTGTCAGTGTGCAAACATAAATTCCAGTTTTATTTCGCTCTTAATACCGACTCATTGCTACAAGGAAGTAGTTAAGGACATTATCTTCTATCTGTAGTTTTTTTACCAAGAACGATAATGTTACCAATATAGAAACATACCTGTTTTGTACCACTACAGAATATAAAAGAGGAAAGGAAAAAGTTTTAGTTGTTTTTATTCCTAGTCTTAGTATTTTTGTTCAACTTAAATTTGCAATTTGCAATTACCTACTACTGTTATTGCTCCTTTGTCTTGTATAAAAACCAAACATTCATTTTTTAAAGCGCAACAGTATCTGCTACTCAGTACCACTATCTTTAATCATATATTTATTGTAGTAATTGTCCTCTATACAGTAAAAAATGTACTTTTTTGATAAATGTAGAATGACGTTTTGTGATTTTTGTGATAGGACAGGCAGACGTAAAATATTAAATAATTAATTTGTAGAATGTTTTAGAACTTTTTACTTTTTTATTGTAAAATAACTAACATAGTTGTATTATTTATTTATATTAAATGAGTTTTGTTTTTACGTAAAGAGTTATTGATGATTGAAACATTTAAAATTTGAACATTACTAGTGTAATGATTTAATGTGCTTTGAAAGAAATTTTTAGATGGAAAGCCAAGTGCGTTTCATGCTCTTTTCAACAGCGACAGCCGCATCTTTTTATTGTGTAGAATTGTCGAGATATTACAATTTTTGTAAGATACTGCAAACGTCCAATTTTCTATAAATAACTCCAAAAACATACCGCGCAGGCAAAAACTATACTCAACAAACTGGACATTAAAATCGATGCTGAATTCAAAAATGTAATAATGTACAGGGTGTCACATTTAAAATAAGGCTGCTGATGTATACTTCCGGTAAATCCGGAAGTCTGTTATCTTTGAAATTAATTTCTGCAGCTGGATAATTTGACCAAGGAAATTTTTTATTGGAAACATTTTCTTCTAATTTCAACGGCAAGACTGCTAGAAAGCAGGGCGTGCTTAATGGACTACTCTGTACAGTTATCTTGGCAGAAATTATAATGGAAAGACCGCTGTTGGGTGTTATATACTATTTACTTGTTAATTCATTTATTTATTTATATTTATCCAATAACATTATTGTTTTTTCTTTTGAGTAGCAGTAGAAGGCAGTAATTTGTGATTGATTTAGTGCATTAGGTGGAAAATAAGAGATATAAAATTTCGACGCTACGTTCACAGTCTAATGAAACGAATTTCACTGTGAAGTGGAGATGGTAGAACTCTGTTATTATACTTTATCAGTATATTTTGAAGAATACATTTTTTATTTTATAAAAGGCTGCTACTGTATTTACGTCAAATTTGAAACTGTTTGTTTTAATGCCGTTTCTTTCGTTACTACACCCTTTCTATTATACTTTTCGGTCAGGACGAACTATTCGATTTATAATTTAAAGTATCCCTTTAAAGTTTCCAACATTTATTGAAATTTGACTCTAGCTAAGGTGTTTTGCTTCCTTCTGTTATACCACAAAATAATATTTAATGCGTACTTTCTAGGTAAATGATACAGTATAGCCGTTTTTGTGTACTCTTTTTTTAAACAGCCTCAATAGGCGAGAACGAATTAAACTACTGTACGTCATTTCGTTTCGAACTTGTAAAAGTAAATTTATAATGTACCTGCTGTCTTGGGCTGTTCGGACTTTTTCCAGTTCTTCTATCATATCCCGCACGATGGAAAGGAATATACTTGTCCCCTTTACATTCTTTATCATAAACTTCATCGCATTTTTCTATTTCTATGTGATGCATTTCAATTGGGCAGCCACTTTCACTTGCCATTACGATTTCCGAAGTAACTACTTGACCAAAAAAGGCCAACATTGCAGTTCTATTTCTAAGCGACCCAAGTCCATCTCGACCGCGCATGAATAGTCGACTTAGTTTTCTTGGACTCGGGCGGTTTTGACCAGCTAGCATGTAAACCCCATCAGAATAGGCCGCTGGAGTTTTTCTAACGAGTTGACTATCTAGAATAATAGAAATTAAATATTTAATTTTTTATATACTCAGATCATATATAATAAATTTTATTACACATGTTAAGCTCAGATGTTGAATTCGGAACGGATCGGCATATAAATTAGCAGTTTGCGTTTAGTTTTTAGTAAAATCGTTCCATAGGTGTATGTAAAATTGAGAAGACCGTCTGTTTAGTCCGCTTCTTATTAAATTCAGAATCAGGGCAACCCAAACCAACTAAAACCTAACCTTTTAAAGGTGCATAAATTCCTTTTCGCTTTAAGTGTTATACACTTTTTTAATGTTACAGTTAGTTTAAATAGTTCTGATTCTATCTAATTATAAAATTACATAGAAAAAGAGTTTTTTCTCCGAGAGGACAAATCTAAAAGTGTTTGAGGAAGAACGGCTAAGAGAAGACACTTTGTGTATTCGTGACATTCAGCATCTTGCGAAAAATGATTTAAATAGATGCCGATCTGCTGAAACTTAAACTAATGTATTTAGTATTTGCTGATTTTGTCCGGAATATGTCGCAATCTACTAATGTACAGGCCTGACGCTGAAAGCTGGCGGAAATTTTAAAATTACGTGAATGTGCGGTGGCAAAAGTAGGCAGTTTTAGGTATAAAGATTGCAGCCCTCATTTTTCAGTATTCCCATCAGGGGCGTAGATTAAATATTTAAAAATAGGGATCAGTGAGCAAGTAACAGACAGACAAACAGAAGAACTAATTGTTGCTGTTGGTGACAGTAATAGAGATTCCCATGATGAGAGTGAATGTGAAAACTAACTATAAAACAAAAGCAATAGGTTTATTTTTTCTTTTTGATAAGTCATGTTTTTACATTATGTTCTAGTACACTACTGTCCTATCTGTATTAATACTATAATTTACGCCTACTGAAAGCTTATTTGTGTATCCAAGTGACTTACCCAAATAAGTCATAAATGGGCAAGTATCTGCGCGACCTCTCGCCAACTTCCTTCGTCAGACTTGTATTTCGTTATCCACCCGAACTTAACATTTAACATATATAAAAATTCAAATCAATAGATAATACTGCAACAAAAGTAGGCGGCTTCTCTTATAAAAGTTCACATATAGTTTTATACCATTACTGAGTTCGTTTATGCAGACGTAATTATTCTGGAATGTAATTATCAATTTAGATGGATGGTGAGACTAAATAGTTTCGTACCTATTTTATTTTCTATAATTTGAAATAAAGCATAAATCGTACTTTATGAAACTAATAAATTAGTACAATGTAGTGTCCAAAGATCTTATAATATCAATATAGATAGAGCGTAGGCAAAGTTTCCAGTGTGCAGCATTGAATTCAATATAAGAGTGGGATAGCGTCATCGGTACAGGAGTGAGTGCGATGAGCGAAAATTTGTACCACATGACTTAGGGCAAAAATACACCACTACGAGACATTACCAGACAATCACAAAGAATTTTTCGTAAATTGAAATTCAGAAGTGCCGAATTAGCATAAATATTTCTTAAACGAAAGTAGTTAAAACAATAGAGCTTTTGGGACCGAGGATGACGCGTCCATGCAATTTTGGCCATCTTCAGTTCTTCGGCGACTTCAAAGGTGATTCTTCAGCTGAAGAAGTGATGTAATCGGGGGTTATTGGATGTTTAAAGGTCATCTTCTTCGGCTAAAGAATAATGACATACACACACACACACATGCTCAAGAAACATCCTCTTTCCATTGTCCACTTCGCTGTTGCTGTTGTTATTGTTGTAGGGGATGTTTCTTGAACAAGTGCGGGTACGTGTCTGTTGTATGCAATGTGTGTGTGTGTGTCTAATGTTTTTTGTTTGAGAATAATTTTTAAAGCGCATGCTAACCAAGGAGCACATTTTTTAGTGGCTCTAATAAATAATCCTTACTGAGGCATGGATGTCGAATATATTAAGTAACAAAGAGTTAAACAATTCAACTTTACTATCGATAGAAATATTAGATATAAATTTACTCCAGTCTAAAGACTGCAGATATTCATAACAACCAACTTCATTAAAATCGCGGAAACTTACAAATTTTGGTGTATGCTTCGGTACATATTGTAAATGTTTAATTCACAGCATATAAATTTATGATCAGATACAGAACCAGTAACTAGCGCCACAGAATTTACAGAAAGATCATCCCTATTAGTGAAAAGTACATGGATTAATGATGTAGAGTTCCTTGACATTCTGGTAGGCACTTTAATTCACTGCTTGAAACCATAACACTCGAAGCAATAGGGGAGGGCGTGATTGTCAGAGTTCAATAAGTTAATATTCATAAAATGCAAAATTATTTTGAACGAAAGCAGAGCACTTGTGGCACTGGGTTAGCAAATAGTCTGAAACATAGCACTTGTTCCATTCAAGCTAAACATATCCTTTTTCCAAAAGCGGATTTCTTAGAACAGGAGAAACTTATGCTACAATGTTAGCGATATTTTGCTTACTATTTTTGATAGAGAATTTTTTACCTGATCATCAATGTCTCCCAAATTATTCAGCGAACTTAGATTATATGTAATTTAATTGTCGCTAAGAAAACTACCATTTAATAAGTAATTTTTTAATATAGAATGAGGATTGAGCTTTTTGGCTTCATTTACTGCATACTGTTTTAATAAAGCTCTTGAATCTATCTAAGGCATTTTGATTATCACAGTAAACTACGATCCCGTCCCTAATTTTCCTTGTACCATTCACACAGTCATATATATTTGCAGGAGACACTGATTTAGACAAATGTTTTAACACATCTTCATCAGAGTTTTTATCAGACGCCATAATTAATAACCCAGGCGAACTGCTGTTAACAGATTTTTTCAGAACTACTGTAACATTTGTCTGCTGGATTTTGAGTGCTAATAATTATTTTTCCAAGGTCGCAAATGCAAATCACACAGATTTTCTAGTTCTCCAAGAAGTTTTTTAAGATTGGTTTGCAAGATACTAATATTAACATCACCAGTAGGTGCAGAAAACTTAATGTTAGATAGCCATGGCTTCAAATTTAGATTTTACTGATCACAAAATCAATAATGTTCTCACAATCGCCAAGAAATTTGTTGAAATTATCTTTAATATTTACATAATTCGGTTGAAAACGTAAACAACAATTGTCATACTTAATTTATTGTTAACAATGAAATTATCGGAGCACTTGCCATACACGTCCACATCCTTCGAAAACTCGTTTAAAATTTGTTTTTGTTATGTCTTTTGTAACAGGCATACCATATAATCCTACAGAAGGTATTTTATAATGTGTAACAGATATAGGTGCGGAGATTTGGAGGATAAACTAAATGCAACAAGAAATCGCATGGTGAGTTCAGCAGCGCTGTTAAGGGTAACTTTTTTTTTAATCAACAATTTACAATTCTAAATCGGCTTGCCAACATAGGTATGTACCGAATACACTGGTCTGCAGCAAAATCCTCCTTCAAAAAATTTTGTCATAAATATAAAGATTTTGATGCGCCGAATCTGTTCCCGATGACCATTTTTTTTTATCTAGTCTAGATTTTTCGTTATGAATTTTTTTCCAAAATATCATAAATTTAGTTTTTTTT